TAGTACAGGGGCTAAATTAAATTGTTCTTGTAATGTTCACTGTAATATTTTTGAATTTTATGTAACGCATTTTTGACCAAGCAAAATCTCATTTCTGGAACAATTTTCTTCTCAGCCACATTTTCCTTCTTCAGAATATAGTATATGTTACTTGGATTTCTTTTGTACGTGGGTCGTCTACCTTTATTCAGGAACTCTCGTGATCACTGTATAATATTAATAAATATCCTGTACTACATTCCGTCATCAGTTCCGCTAAAATGGGAGCATTTTTTTTAATCAAACAAAAATCTAATTTTTGGAAACAATTTCGTTTCATCGTCATCAGGTCCGTCCACGTGGTGATGATGTACGTTGGGCGCTTCCTCAACGGATTCGCCACCGGCACCATTTGCGTCACAGCACCCACTTACATGGCGGAGATTTCAGAGCCCAGCATCCGCGGAATGTTGGGCTCCTGTTTCCAGCTCCTGGTCACCCTCGGGGTCCTCGCCGTGGACATCGTGGGCATCTGGACCCCGTGGCGCTGGATCGGTGCCTTCTGCGGCATTCTTCCCGTGGCGACCATCGTCGCCATGTTGTTTGTGGCCCGTGAGTCACCCACCGACTCCATCATCAGGTGAGATGGGTGCAGAATTTTGTGATTGGGAGGAGAGGGTGATTTATTGTTGAGGGCGGTGGTGCTGTATACATCAGTGGTCTGCATTTCTGCGTGGAACTTTGTCAACAAGGCATTCACTATAGATTTTGTTGCAATAAGAATCTGATTGATTATTTTCCTTATGCAGCTATTCAATTAAGCTAGGACGAATCTTGTTGCCTTCAACCAAGTCCCTGCCCAATAGTCACACCGCTAAAGAAGTTCCTTTATAGCAATTTTTTGTAACAAGAAAAAATATTTTACTGGCCCAAAATGTCTTCATTTGTTATGAATGTAAAATGTTTGAATTCTTCATGGTGCATGTCACACATGTTTATACAGTGAAACTTTTTTAGTTGAATTTAAAGGGACCAGCACAAAGTCTAGTTAGAGAAACAAGTATTTTTGTTTTGGGGAAGGTTGCAGAATTACTACAAATTTTAGTTTGTGATATGCTGGGCCTTGAATTGCTTCATAAATGAGTTGAAAGGATGCTGAATGTGGTGGCATGGGTTTCTTTGCCCAACTAGTTTTTCACTTCCTCCAAGCACACATTGCTACATTTTCATCACTTTTCTCTCTCCTGTGCCAATCAAATTATAGTAAAAGACCTCCAGAATATTTGATTTATGGAGGCTTGTGTGGGGGGATTTGATTTAGGAATGTTCTTAATACATTTTTTCTAGGGAATTCATTCAGGGACTTGAAAAAAAAATTCAACTTAGGGAAGTTTTCAACTTGGGGATGTTTGAGTGAATGAGGTTGAATTGTGTTTTGATTAACCTCAGCAGTTGTACCAGTAGTTTTATTATTCTCTTCCAAAAAAAGGAAAACCCAAGTGTGTCATTGAGATGTGTTTGATCCCATCTCAATGACACAATTGGTGAGAATAAACTGCCAAACCCCATCTGTCCTAAGAATACAATTGTTTTATCTGGTTGCCATCTTCTTCTGGGATGCACATTGAAAGAGCAAGTAAAAAAAGCCAAGGGAAAAAAACAGAAAAGCTAGCACAAAGGGAAATGCACAGACATGAAAATAATTATGAAATTGGGAGGCTTGAGTTATACTGGGTCAACTATATACCTTATTTACTCAAGTACCACACGCGCACCTTTTTTCTCAAATTTCAGAAGAAAAAAGGGGTGCGTGTCATAAGGGGGTAAACAATTTTCAAGAAGTTTTAGGAAGTTGTGTGTTAATTATACTTGATTATAATGGAGAAATTTGTGAAAAATTTACCAAGAAAACAAAAAAAAATGACTTTTTAAACTTTTAACTAGTCTAAGTACAAGTTAAGTGTAGTTTTCAGTTTAAAAAACAAAAATGAAAGCTTTAAAACACCAACATCTCAGCGATTTTTACCCCACGTGCAGAAACTCAGGGATACAATTTTAGCCAAATTTTGAACTGAAAAACCCCTTTGCGCGCCTTACTCCAGGGCGCGGGGTACTCGAGTAAATACGGTACATTATTTGCAAGTCCTCTGTTCAAAGGTACATCAAGTCGCAGAAGCAGTCAAACGACAGACAAGAGGCCCTGGAGACACTGACTTGGCTCAGGGGGTCCAGCCATGACTGCCAGCGAGAGCTGAAAGAGATCGAGGATTCCGTGCAAAGAGCGCAGTCAGCCACGTTCCAGTTGTCAGACGTGAAGAAGCCGGGATTCTACAAGCCTCTGTCCATCTCCCTGGGCATCATGATGTTCCAGCAGTTTTGTGGAATCAACGCAGTCATCTCCTACACTGCCATGATCTTCACTTCCGCTGGTTCATCCATGAAGGGAGATGTGGCTGCAGTCATTGTTATGCTGGTCCAGGCAAGTGTTCATTCCTATATATGATTGACAATGTGGGCCCTGAGTGAGAGGCAAACATACTGTTATTTGTGTTTGTACCTTGGCCCTATGCTGGAATGTTGGTATGTTACATCACGCATTTTTTTCACAGAAACTTGAACGGTAACATATTTAATTGGTTTGCCTGTTCATGAAAATTTAGTAGAAACCCCCCCCCCCCCCAAATGGATTGAATTTTTTCTCAACTTGAAGATAAAGAAAATAACTATACAGAAGGAATTCTCACAGAATCTTATTCCTTGGCACAGAAAGTATAGCCTAAAAAGCATATAACAATCAACCAATACACGCCTTGCCCTAAAAACTGCGTACAGATGATGCAAAAAAAAAACTCTGAAAAAGGAAGCAAATTAGAGCACCTGTTTTGATTATGAATGACACTCTTGAGTTTATTTATATAATTTATTCTCAACTCATATGAACTATGTGCACTTTTCTTTCAAAAATGTGTGGAGAAAAATAGAGTGCAAGTTGTTCCCAAGGAAAAATCCACAAAATCAGTGCCCTTCACATGTGAATACAATACATTAAGGCAACAAGAAACGTGTATGATGCTGAGTCTCCTTGTCCTTGGGAATGATGGATCAAGCAATAACAATTCCAGGAACAAATTCATTGAAGATGAAACAGGAAGTAGAAAAATATGAATCTCATTAATGAACATGCCTTATCAAGTATTTCAACCACATTTTTACTGCTCCTTCAGACAATAACCAGGACTGAATATCAATAGAGAAAAATTGAATAAAAAATTATTTCACTTTTTTCTACGAAGTGAGGTGTGGCTACAAATAGACATCAGGCAAAGATTTTGGGATGCATTTCTCACACAAACTTTGAGGTGCATGTCTTACTTGGACTTGACTAACTTGAGTGAATGTTATCAATAACTTATTTGTTCAAGAGATATCACAATTAAACATAATACAATTTCTCCATTTATCGAGAAATGTTGGCAAAGTATCCATATTTCATAACATTGTCCAGATGCTTGAGCATATTTTTTGAGTTTTAAGCACTTCATACTTGTATGCCGAGCAGCAGGGGGGTTTCAGTAACTATACTGCAGAGGAGCAATTAACAGAAAATGGCATCCATTCTATTGAATGCAAAATTCATTGTACTGTATAAACTCCATTATTGTGGTATATATATGAGTCAGATTAAGTGACATGTGAATAAAATCCGTACAATGATAACCACAGGTGGTCGCGACGTCCATTTCAACCCTGGTCGTAGACAGAGCAGGTCGAAAACCCCTGCTTTACCTTTCCGGAGGCCTGGAATGCGTATCTCTCATCGCACTCGGTGTGTTCTTCTACGTCCAAGAGGGAATGGAAGACCCGGACCTGGAGAAGCAACTCGCAGTCTTACCCGTCATCTCACTGGTCGTCTACATTTTCGCCTTTGCCATAGGCTACGGCCCTTTGCCGTGGATCCTCATGGCCGAGTTGTTCAGCGACGAGACCCGACAAGCAGCATCTTCCTTCGCAACTGCGCTGAACTGGTTCTGCGCGTTTCTCGTCACAAGAACATTTCTGGATCTCCGAGCCGCCATCAATTCGTACGGCGCCTTCTGGCTTTTCTCTGTGATCAGCGGTATCAGCGTTCCGTTCGTCTTCTTTCTCACGCCGGAAACCAAAGGGAAATCACTGGATGATATTCAGCGGTTGTTCAACTAATTCCAGTATTTGAACACAAAACAAATGGAAGGACGACACGGGTTTTGATCATCGGAAACGCGCGTGATGAAAGTNTTTTTTTTTACTGAAAAATTTGAAAATTGATCAGATTCATGTTCAATTCACATCAAAAGTCAAATTTTTTGTTTTTACTTTCGAAATTTTGTGGTTGTAGAGTCGCTAAAAATGGGGTGCACGTCTTACTCAGGGATACAATTTTAGCCAAATTTTGAACTGAAAAACCCCTTTGCGCGCCTTACTCCAGGGCGCGGGCCGTACTCGAGTAAATACGGTACATTATTTGCAAGTCCTCTGTTCAAAGGTACATCAAGTCGCAGAAGCAGTCAAACGACAGACAAGAGGCCCTGGAGACACTGACTTGGCTCAGGGGGTCCAGCCATGACTGCCAGCGAGAGCTGAAAGAGATCGAGGATTCCGTGCAAAGAGCGCAGTCAGCCACGTTCCAGTTGTCAGACGTGAAGAAGCCGGGATTCTACAAGCCTCTGTCCATCTCCCTGGGCATCATGATGTTCCAGCAGTTTTGTGGAATCAACGCAGTCATCTCCTACACTGCCATGATCTTCACTTCCGCTGGTTCATCTATGAAGGGAGATGTGGCTGCAGTCATTGTTATGCTGGTCCAGGCAAGTGTTCATTCCTATATATGATTGACAATGTGGGCCCTGAGTGAGATGCAAACATACTGTTATTTGTGTTTGTACCTTGGCCCTATGCTGGAATGTTGGTATGTTACACCATGTTGTTTTCTACAGAAACTTTAATGGTAGCATAATTAATTGGTTTGCCTGTTCATGAAAATTTAGTAGAAACTCCCCTCCCCCAAATGGATTGCATTTTTTCTCAACTTGAAGATAAATTGAATAACTACACAGAAGAAATTCTCACAGAATCTTATTCCTTGGTACAGAAAGGAGCCAAAAAAGCATATTTCAATCAAATAACACAGGCCTTGCCCTAAAAACTGTGCACAGATGATGCGAAAAAAAACTGTGAAGAAGGAAGCAGATTAGAGCACTCACCCGTTTTGATTATGAATGACACTCACACACTCTTGAGTTTATTTATAAAATGTATTCTCAACTCATATGAACTATGTGCACTTTTCTTACAAAAATGTGGGGAGAAAAATAGAGTGCAAGTTGTTCCCAAGGATACAATTTTCAAGGAAAAATCCACAAAATCAGTGCCCTTCACATGTGAATACAATACATATAAGCAAAAAAAACAGAAGAAACATGTATGATGCTGAGTCTCCTTGTCCTAGGAAATGGATCAAGCAATAACAATTCCAGAAACAAATTCATTGAAGATGAAACAGGAAGTAGAAAAATATGAATCTCATTAATGCACATGCCTCATAAAGTATTTCAACCACATTTTGACTGCTCCTTCAGACAATAAAACCCAGGACTAAATATCAATGGAGAAAAATTGAATAAAGAATATTTCCTTTTTTACAACGAAGTGAGGTGTGGCTACCATAGACATCAGGCGAAGATTTTGAATTTCTCACACAAACTTTGAGGTGCGTGTCTTACTTGCACTTGACTAAATTGAGTAAATATTATCAATAACTTCATTTGTTCAAGAGCTATCACAATTGCAAAAATATACAATTTCTCCATTTCTCTAGAAATATTGGCAGAGTATCCATATTTCAGAACATTTTCCAGATGCTTGGGCATATTTTTTTAGTTTTAAGCAGCACTTTATACTGTACTTGTATGCCGAGCAGCAGGGGGGTTTCAGTAACTAAGCATACGGCAGAGGAGCAATTGACAGAAAATTGCATCCATTCATTGCATGCAAAATTCATTGTATAAACTCCATTGTGGTATATATATGAGTCAGCTGAAGTGACATATGTTAATAAAATCCGTACGATGTACCCACAGGTGGTCGCGACGTCCATTTCAACCCTGGTCGTAGACAGAGCAGGTCGAAAACCCCTGCTTTACCTTTCCGGAGGCCTGGAATGCGTATCTCTCATCGCACTCGGTGTGTTCTTCTACGTCCAAGAAGGAATGGAAGACCCGGACCTGGAGAAGCAACTCGCAGTCTTACCCGTCATCTCACTGGTCGTCTACATTTTCGCCTTTGCCATAGGCTACGGCCCTTTGCCGTGGATCCTCATGGCCGAGTTGTTCAGCGACGAAACCCGACAAGCAGCATCTTCCTTCGCAACTGCGCTTAACTGGTTCTGCGCGTTTCTCGTCACAAGAACATTTCTGGATCTCCGAGCCGCCATCAATTCGTACGGCGCCTTCTGGCTTTTCTCTGTGATCAGCGGTATCAGCGTTCCGTTCGTCTTCTTTCTCACGCCGGAAACCAAAGGGAAATCACTGGATGATATTCAGCGGTTGTTCAACTAATTCCAGTATTTGAACACAAAACAATTGGAAGGACGACACGGGTTTTGATCATCGGAAACGCGCGTGATGAAAGTGGTGCGAGGCTGTGACATTCACTTTTGCTATCAATGATAACGATGCATTAAGAAAACGCATTTCACTTTAAGATACGCAATAATTCTGCAATCGACAACTGTTTTCACGCGACGCTGTTTGATTTCTTCTGACGTTACACTGTAAACGGTATTTCATTCCTCATTTCGTTCGTTATGAACCTGTGCAGAGTTTCGTGAATTGCTGTGATTCGCAAATCTTATTTGGTTTTGAGGCATTTTTCACGGCTTTATCTCGGGGATTTCGGATGGAAGAATTTTGAATAATTTGAATAAAAGGCATACCGCGGCAATCATCACCTACTTGGAGATTATATCAAGGACATCGGATATGACAGTGAATAATATGCAGCAATACTTGACTCAATATTGCACTTACCCCGATTCAACCACAACCATCAGCATCCTGATTTCGTGCGATCACTGTACAAGAAAAGGGCCGCAAGACGCGCAAAATTTCCTGTGAAGACTTTACGCGTTTACGGTTTACTCAGCAAAAGTCGTATTCGGATGAATTAAGTTGGTTTTATACTCAAGAGAGATCCCTGACCTTGTTCGGTATCAACACCAGCTTTAAAATTGAGAAGGGTAGGTATTTTGCTTCGAATTTCAAGAAATTTTCAGTTTCAAATGTAAAATCCACTTGAGACCAAGTCCATATGAGACTCATTCATCGTCCACAACTCGCCCACAGTCAACATAAACGCGCGATAGATGAGCGAATATGCCGGACTAATAGAGCGTTTAAGAGGATCATCGATTTTCAGGAAGAAAGTGGTCATTAATTATCGACTGATCGCCTCAAAAAAAGCTTAAACGTGAAGTACAATTTTCATCCGAGGCTCAATTTTGCTAGATCATGCAGTTTTCGTTGAATCTTCCTCCCTCCTTCGATATTTCTTTTTCTTAATGCAGTACTATCTTTCCTTTATTAAAGAGGTCACACGGAGGCGTTCCTTACGTAGCTATGAACCTGGCACAAGGTTCATTCTCATGATCCGTTCGAAGAAGCGATGGCATCATGGCAAGCTCAGCCACCCATAATACTCGTAGTCACCGCAGTTCTCAAGAACACATTTGACGTCATAGTACATATAATCGTAATAATAAACGCTGACTCGCCGCTGACGAATGCGCTCGTGCGCTTCACTCGTAAATTAAGAAGGACTGATCGCTGAGAAGATTCATTACTTTCATCTTGTCACACTTGATCTCGGAGTTCCCAATTAACTCCGGGTTGCCTGCAAGCAGTGAGTGCATCTTGGAGGCAAACGTGATTCAGCATAGGAGCTGGGTATCGATAGATCCGGGTGGGATGAGTGAACAACGCATTTATTTCTGTACGTGTGATCCACATGAGTCCCAATTTCCTGTCAATTTTCATTTTTTCTTTCTGCATGCTCGACTCTTCCAGCAGCAGTTGCAAAGCGGTTCTTCATGTGCTGGCGAGGCCATGAACTGAAGCGTGAAAGCTGCATATTTTGCTCACAGAAGAAGTCGAACAAATACCAAACCTTCGGGAGAACCTTGAGAAACTCCAGCAGCACGTGTGCGCGCGCGGACCTGCAATATATGCTGGCATGAAGAACTGTCAACAAAAGCAGTCGACACCTCTCGAATGCATTCAGAAAAAGGTACCTCAGCCAAACAGTACTGCGAAAACGCAGTGGAAACCCAACACCACAAGAGATCCGCTTCTCTCTGCCAGCTGAGAAGAATCATTCCGTCCCAGACCTTGGCCCTGTGACCTCCCCGTTCGAGTCAGCTGGAAGTCCTGTATGTGTACCGACACATTTCTCCCCTTTTCATTTTTTTTCTCTCTACAAAACGTGAATGATCTGTGCGAATGTAGTACTGCAGTTCAGTTGGAGTTCATCAGTTCCTTTGGAAATTTATTGTCTACTGAAAACATGAGGCAGAGATTCAGCAACTTTTTATGAAGAGTGATTCATGATGTTTTGAAGCTTTGTGTCATGCAAATTTTGCAGAAATTTTTGCATAGGAACAGTGGCTGAAGACTCTATGACAAATCACCTCTTCACCTCAAAGTAATACTGCAATTGTTCACCTAACACTTTTCTCGAAAAAATTGTGATAACACCTTGTAAATATAGGTCTTACTTCAGCCTGCTTGTTTCTTTTATAACTGGACTGACAGAATGATCATCAGCTGGAAGCCTACACCAAAGAAAAACTTACATGTTCAGAAAGAAAAAAAGTTTCTTTGATTCTTTAAAGCCTAAAATTGTAACACAACCCTGTCAATATTATGAGACATGGGTGCATGAATGATGCATAAGCCCATTTAGCATAATATAAGTGTTTCTTTTTAATGGGTGCACCAATATTTTTATTAAAGAGAAAATTTTCTAATAGTTTTGTGCAAATTTTCAGGGGTTATAAAACTCGAACGAAATTATTTCTTTTGATTGGTATTTTGGCTCGGAAGAGGAAATATTTTTGTTTAAAATTCGGGAAATGAAATTGCTTTGGAGATTCCGTCGCAACTGATTTCTTGTGACTCTCCCCTGTCATGTGAATTTGAAAATTTTTAATTATTTGTAAGAGTGGCAATCTCAAATGAGAAATAAACGCATTTAAGGGTGAAGTGTCTTGTTTTGAAATGGTGAAGAAAAATCAGATTGAAAGCGTTTTTCTCTGAATAAATTATTTATTTAATTTGAACTATCAATTAAAAATGAATACTGATGCAGAAAACGTTATTCAGACAGACACTCCAAAAAATGTTTCCCTCAGGGAAGTATTTGACTCAAAGAGATTCAATAAGTTACCAAGGTTCAGATGCATTTTGCACTAGTACAAAGAAGTCAATAGATTAAGAACAATTGCTGTAATATACAATACATTACAGTTTACCCCTGCACAACAGGCCTCTGACAGAACCAATTTTTGCACAACAGACCACCTCTGGACTTCTGGAGGCAGTTTTCCCAGCTCCTGCACAATGGATTAAATCCGCATAACAGACTTCTGTTATTTTAAGATTAATGGTAGAAAGTTTAATTTTTTAATGCAGGTGAACCTTGATAAGGCTAACCTCCCTAAGTTGAATTCCTCCCTAAGTCAAATTTTTTTCAAGTCCCTGTCTGAATTCCCTTCCGATCAATACATTAAAAACCTTTCTAACTCAAAGTCTTTCTTCTCTAAAAACCTCTGTAATAAGTCAAATTTTCTAAGGCCTTCTGGTTATTATTTCCTTGAAATATGAAAGAGAAAATTATCCAGACAAATAAATTTATGCATCTTGAAAGGAAGTGAACAACAAATATAGCAAATGAACCCCTGCTCCAAGTTCAGCAAGGTGTAAACTCATTAACAGGCAAGTTTAGGCCCAGAATATCCTCATTTATAATTTCCCACACTTTTTTCACTTCTCCTCACAACAGAAGTGTTTGTTTCCTCAACTGGAAATCTCAAAAATCAAAACCTCCCTAAATCAAATTTTTTTCTGATCCCTATATAGAAATTTGATCAACAGAGGTTCAACTGTAATTTAATTTGCTAAACAAACTTTTTTCAGCAGACTACAGTAGTCTGTTGCGCAAATCAATTCCATTGTGTGGGGGTTGACTGCACAGTCATTTCATGTCATCTTCAAATGGAAATGAATAGATGTCGCATTTCAGGCATTTTCTCAAGGCTCAGATAAAAGAAGGAACCTTTTGCTGAGAGGATGCTTTTCCAGGTCATGGTCACAGAGAAAAACCGATTTCACTTATCTCTCTCTCTTCAGGAGCCAGATTCGATGTTCAGTGAGCTTTCAAAACTTGTTCAATCATGTCTCAGTTTCATATGGCTGCTTCATTTCAAGACACTTTTTTTTTTAAATTGTAAACATTTCTTTCGCTCTTGGGAACAAAAGACAACGAGTGAATCACGCTTTTAAATAAACTTCAACAGCCCCCATAATATGAGTCACTGCATATAAAGATGATAAAATAGTCCACCTGGTGTTTGTGTGCCTCTTGTTTTCTTTGTTCAAGCAAGAACACATTTCTGGTAACGGACACAAAGGAAATGTAACATGAAGGTTCTGCAGGGAATGCAAATGTGGAAAGAAGACTAATATTTGCTTTTACAAGAGACACACACACATACATACAGAATATGAAACAGACGCAAGGAAAATTTTATCAGTATCGTGAAACCTCTCACAGACAGCCTCCGTGATTACGAACACGTTTTTGTCCCTTATTGGTGTGACTTCAACACATGTATCATTTTATTCTAATGCCTAAATATATTCAAATGAAAAAAAATTTGTATTGTGTTCTGATGGAAGTGTCAATTCCGTTCTCTGTTACACGTACGTATACCCAGGTTAAACCCCCGTGAGACTTCATATTAAATTGCGTAATATGAGGCATCGTCGACCCGAAGCTACTGTGATTATGACGATTTCATTTATTGCTTGTTTATTATTGGTCTCACTGCCCCGGGCATCTTCGAGTCCGCAACCCACGTACAATAATCATCAGAACTCATCACCCAAGTTGGTTCACTATTGGAGCTATGTGAACCATGCCCAGACCAACAGGCCCGTCAGCAGGCATGTTGACAGGACCCCAGCAGCAGGTCCATCATCCACACCAGCACCCATCAAAGAGGTCGTGTTCCGGTACTCGATGGACAGGGATGGGAAGGTGGTCGTGCATCATGCCCCCAGGGAATTTGCGTACATTCTGCCAAACAACGTGAGTGTGTATGGAAATGTGTCAGTGAGCAGGACCTGGAGACGTGGACAGAGTGGACAGGAAGTTTCGACGGACAGGACTTGGGGCAATCACAGGTCAGGGAATTCACAACGGGTTTTGTAAAAAAAAACCATTCCATTTTTATTTTATTTTTTGAAAAAGTGGGGACGCGGCAGATTTTTCATGAAAAAGGACTTTTTGGTAACCCCTTAAAATTGTAAAAATAATTGGAACATTTTATATAAAGGACACTCGGAAATCTAAACCTTTTAAAAAGATCCAATTCAGCGGAACTTTATATCCCCAAAATTTATAAATACTGAACAGAGTGCTATAAAATGAATTGGTTCTGACTCAAACAAAAAAAATTATGCCGTGGGATGAAAATTGTCATATAAAAATCCGTGATGGTCAAAATAATCACATATTGTCATACCAAGGCTTTCACTCTAAAATCTTTACAAGGCTTCCTGAGAAATAACTGGGTTGAGTCATTCCTTCCCGGGGTAACTTGTTCACTGATCCTTTTCAAACAAGAAATTTGATGGCCTTGTTTGCGAAACAGACCAAGGGTAAAACTGCTTCTCAGTAGCATTTTATTACTTCTGCGGATTCCATCACTCACAAGAAAAAGAAAAAAAAAATTGGGAGTTTAGCTCTGGCATAACTTTGTTTCTCATGCTGAGCCATGGATCCATAAGTAAACCCAAAGCATATCAAATAGGAATATAAAATTAGCTTCAATGTTTTGCTCAAAGAAATAACCACAGTTATTGTTCCAAAATGCAGAATTTGATGGAAAAATCTTTAAAAAAAGCATGATGAAAAACAGCTTCTGTTCAACATCAGTCATCAATCTGCTACAATACTACATCATATTTTACTCAAGTAACGTTTGCCCCCCATGGAAGATGTGCACCTAAATTTTTCAGCCAAAAATTTGGATAAGAACATATCCCTGAGTAAGGTGCCCACACCATATGTTGTGACTGAAAAATTACCACATTTGAAAAATAAATTCACCAGAAAGTCAAGCAATTCCAATTTATACTCACATTGAACCAAAATTCAATTGATTTTCAAGTTAGTTCGATTTTTAAAATAATATTGTTTTAAATGGGACCAAGATTTTTCATGAATGACTCAACTAATATTATGTACTGTACACCTAAACTTTAGAAACGTTGGAAATCTTATTCATATACCATCTTTGATGCATACCCTTCTTATTGTTCTTTTAATTGAAAAAAGTGTGACTGCTGTGTGTGAGTTGATGCTGTCCTACACTTGAGAGAGATATGATATAGTCATTGTGAATACCAAGGCCTTCTCAGATTTTCCATTGCAAGGATAAAATTTGCAGTTCTCCAAAAGACTGGCAGCCATTCTCTTGTACTGTCAACAGTCTGCATGCACAGAGACACAAAATACTCATTTACACTTTTACCCAAAAGGCATAGCTTAGAGGGTGCTTATTAAAATTTACATCCTGTGTAAAAAAATTGCTAAATGCTACCTATTGCCTTATGTCATGTGAATAACTCACTCACAATTGAAATGTTTATACAAATGAACTTGGTCATCTTTCAGATTTGATCACCAGCAAGATTGGGATATGGAATACAGGACAACAAGAACAAGTCCTATAAGAAGCAATATATATCAAGCCAGATTCCCAACTACTCAGCAAGATGTGAGCAGAGATAAATCTGGTTGGACAACAACTTCATCTCCAAAGGCAGCTCCCACACAACCACCATCAAGGGAGAAAGCTTCCAGCTTCATCCCAGTCCAAACTACAAAGTCTGCACCAAGTCCTGAACCTACCAAAGGTTTATTTTTTTTACATAATCCTAAAACTATTAAAAATAATAGATCAGTACCAACCCTGAATAGTCAGAATGGTTTTCCTATTCATGTTGATGCAGTAAAATCTCATTAAAATTTTTGGAACTTCTTGGACAGTTTGTTTTACAAAAAAATTTATAAAATAAGATTTTAAAAGTTATTGACTGGACAAAAATTCACATCAGACCTGCCTATAATCAATTAAATCTTGCTTTTCTGAAATTATCAGATTTTTCATCATTGTCTGACAAAATGACTGATTTTCTGAAAACATTGAGCTTCAATATTGAATTCCATGAATTGCACAAATCTCTTCATTCTGTGAGGATGATGCATGGAACCTCTTGTAAGCATGTTTTTCACTGATTAAAGATTCCATTTAAAGTACAAGAACCTGTTGGTCACTTTTGAGATAGAAAATTTTGGACTGTGCCTTCCTTAGAGTCAGGAAATTTCTACATGGAGAATCTACAGTACTTTTCTAAACATTTCTCAAAAAAGTTTATTATGACAGGATTGGTATTTTTGCTATAATGAGATTGTTTTAATGTGTACTCTATGGGTTTCCTGCCATCAGGATCAGGAAAATGTGTGTTATAATACTGCAACATTTGTTTTAGCAGTATTTGTTATGATACAATTTTACTGTATAAGATATCACTGACTCATGTTGGCCCATACTAAACTTTGCTTCATCATGCAAATCTGTGATGCATGAATAGTAGCAAAATTTCTCCTACATTTCTGATCTGTGCAGCAAGTGATCAACACTGGAGCAGGACAACATATCCCTCCATGCAACCAGATGAGGGCAACATTAACCCTTCAAGGGGTGACATGCCACCTCAAGTGAACAAGGGCAACACATGGCCCACCTTGCCTCCAGTTGAGTCCCTAGGACCTACAAAGAGTAGCAGCACTGTTATTCCACCAACAGCACCACCAACAGTTCAATCAGATCTAGAACAGCGTCTACGAGTTGAGCAAGATCGAGAGAGGTGGTACAGAGACCAATTGAGGCTAAGGCAAATGTCTGTGCTTCAAGAACATCACAGCAGGAGGGAACAACAGAGATTTGAGTCATCTTACACTCAAGTCCCCAGCACAGTCAAGGGGGAGCCTGTGACTGAGTCCACCAAGGTGAGGATAACAAGCCCATTTACAAGTGTTGTATTGTGAATGTTAGATTACAGCATTTACTTTAGTATAATGTGTCTTCTAAATGATGAGACATACATCTGAATTTCACTGCCTGGCATTTGTGTAAAAATTTATTCCTGACTAAGACAGGCATTTCTCTCTGAGTCCCTGAACAGTGTTGGAAAAGAAACTATAATTCAGAACAAATGAAATTATGGTTATTTATGCCAAAATAAAATTTTATTAGACCTGTGTTAACCCTTGTGCAGCAAAGTTGGGGTATTTTTGCAAAATTGTGTACCCATGACTGCTGCAAATAAAAAATATGATTTTTGAACCAAGGCCTAAGTAAGGAAAAATTCCAATATTCTTTTATCATCCTGCTGCAGAAAAAATGTGGCTCAAAAATAAAAAGAATTCCTCACTGGGTGGCAATTTTTCATGATGCATTCCCAGCATAGTATTAGTATTGAGGATTTCTTGAGACAAAGGGATTTTCTGTACCCTGATTTTTCCCATCTTAGGCAAGCCTGGGGGCATTTCAGTGACCTTTGGTCAAACTTAAATGCCCCTCCACCCCCCCCCCCTCAAATATCCTAACTTTTCTATAGGAATACAGGATGACCTGGAACCCTCCAACATCCAAGGGTTAAATCTGAGTTAACTTGCTCTTAAACTACCCCTTTTTTATATTTTTTGGTGATTTACGTATTGTCGAGTCATTCTTCTGTGGAAAAGTTGCATATAAGAGTGAAAATGTCATCATAGTGACTTTTGTATGAAAATCCACTAAAAGTCTTGAAGTTTTGCAAAAGTTTCTACCCAACTATCAACAGAGTGAAAAATTTTCCTGAATTTGTCACTCCAAATTTTGGTGTGAAAAATTTGCTCATCATACTTGGGTACATATGGTGGAATATTAGGTATCCTGGCTGAGGATCACTTGGCTGCATCCAGGTAATCCAATAAATACATGGAGATCATTTCCTGTACTGTAATCTCTAAGCTGTCATTTCAACATGCAGTATCTTGAAATTCAGAGGGCCTGGGTAACCAAATGTTTTGAAATTACATTAGAAAAACGAGAAACATGTTACAGTTCCACAAAAATGAAATGCTTCAGTGATATATCTTGATTGTAGGAAGACATTGTTATGCTTCTGTCAATCAAATTTTAATCTTGAAATGTGTCAAAGTGAAATAAATTGAATCCAATTAAAACTATGAAGGCTGTTTTGTCAATGAGAAACAAAGACTGGTTTCTCCATTTATTATTTTCACTTTATACTGATAATTAATACATTTCCAATCAAAATTCTGCTCTGCTGTGTAACTATGCAGTGCCTCGAATAATGAATTATATTCACTCCAGTCACAGGAGTCCATAATCCAGCATATATTCCTCGACAAAATAATGTAGAATAAACCTATTTTCCGAGTTTCCAACTTTTTAAAAGCAATCCAGAAAAGTTGCTCGATTGGAAAACCTGAAACCTTATGGAACCATTCGGATCACTCAAAATAGATGAATCCCTTCAATAAATTATCAAAAGAGAACGTAATCCATGTAAAATAAAAGCATCGAAAATTGAAAACAAAGCTCAAGGAATCAAGGCAAGAGTTTTAATCACTTATAACTGATTGTGGTAAACATGAATTTTTACGCGGGATTTATGTTGATAATTTTGAAGGCCAATTATTTTCATGCAGTCCATCATTCATGGCAGGGTCAACTGTTCAAATTTAAAATCAGCATGAACCTGAGTTGAGTACAACGTCTGCATATTACTGTATCATCTTGGGCGCCATATTAAGCTATCAATATGTCTGGATATTTTCCAGGGTGTGACTCAGGCTACCAAGGGACCACCAATGCCTCCACCCACGACAAAAGCTGGATTTCCAACCCCTCGACCAACAGAAAAAGCTGGGTACCCAGTTCCTCCTCCAACAACGAAAGCTGCTCCTCCACCCATCACAACAAGCACTATGCGACCCCCAACAACCAGTAACAAGGGTGAAACCCGGCCTCTACCATCAGTCACACAATCTGAAGTTGCTCAAGTGGACCCACACCTCAGGCACTACAATTCTCAGAGACATAGATTGCGTTTGGTGAGAATTTCTCAAAATTTAACCAAGTACTTTTTGGAATGTTCATAAAATCTCACTCCAAAATGCATAGATGTGGGTGTTTGCGATTACAAGTTGATTCTCAGTCTCTCTAAACAAAACTCTAGTGACCAGAAAAGAGTTATTGTATGCAGAAAATTTTGTTGGAAAACCCCTTAAAATATGGGAAGATAACCCTATAAAATCCTAACAAGCATAGACTCTTTATATACTGAGAAAATTGTTGTAGAGAGCATTGTTTGGTATATGTATATAATACAGCAGTTGACCCCCTCACAATGGACATTTCATTTGAATGTCCATTTGAAATTGGACATTGCAGACCGGCAAAATTTCATAAAATTTTTGCAGGCCCAAAAAGTTTTGCTATAAAGACTTTAAGGAAGGTTTTTAAAAGCTTTCTGCTTTTTTTTTGGCAAGAAGTGAGTCAAGAACCAATGAAACAGCTACTGTGGAATGATTTCAAAAAATTAGAAAGGTGGGCTTGAAGAAACATTTCTCAAAATTAACGCTCAAAAAAAATTTATTTCAGCAGGTTGCAAATTTACCTGAAGCAAGCCAACTTGTATTCTTTGTCAGATAATTTCAAATGACATTGTCTGACAAATGTCAAATGACATTTGTCATTTTCAAGAATTCTGAAGGAGTTGCTGGCATAGAAAAAAAAATCTTCAAGATGGGTGCCAAATATTTTGAGTAGAGAGCAGAGCTGCGTGGGTGACATTTGCAAAATGTTTGAGAAAAATATGTCAAACAGGGCTGAATTTTCTGTGTGCCAGAGGAAGTATCTTTTTAAAAGTACCTGCTTTCATTTCAATCACAGGATTATTAATTTTGGGAACTTTTGTTTTACCCCTTGTACACACAATGGCTAGTTTAGGGTTTGAGGGATTGGTCTGTAACAACATTAAATTAAATCAGCAGATTGATTTTTCAAAGACTGCATGCATTTTGTACAAATTACAACCATTGGGAAGATTGCCCTACTGTAATCTTAATTTTTTGTGAGGGTTCAAACATTAGTCAAAGTTTATTCAGAAAGAAGAGAAGACAAAGTTAAAATTTGTCAAAATCAAAACTCCTAAATCCAGTGGACGCCAAACCTATCAGATTCAATGCTTTTTATTTTTCATTATTTCACTCTGTGGGTTCTTCTTAGGGACAAACAGGTAGGCAGTGGGACATGCCTCCAGATGCCAACCCTGCTAAACTGCCAGAATGATGTCACACACATGTTGGCAGTTTAACAGGGGTTGACTGAATCTGGAAAACAGACTTTTCACACAACTGACTAGTCTGTAGCACAAATCAAGTCCATTGTGCAGGGGTTGACTGTACACAAGTGGATATAGCACAATGCATCCCTGACTGAAACAAGACCTTTAGGATAAAACAAAAATGCACAGACCAAATTTTCTTGGAAGGGGAAACATTGACGCATACATTTTTTTAAATTTTACAGGAAAAAGCATTTATTTCATGTCATGATTTTAAACTTTCAATTTATTTTCAAATCAAGGCAAACCTTGTAAATGAGAAACTGAAGGTACGGTTGTTGCCTTTTTGAACTCCCAAAAATTTTGAATTTCAGAAAGTTGAGAGCATAGAATTTCCAGGATTATTTTTATTTTATGAATAGATTTGGTCATGAGTTTAAACTTCTATATTCAATTCCAAATCAAGACAATTATTTACAATTAGAAATATTAATGAGATATAGTTGGCGTCTTTTTTAACCCCCAAAATTTGTGAATTTCAGAAATTTTCAAGAGCATAGTGTTCACAGAATTATTTTATTTTTATGAATACATTTTGTAATGAAAGTTCGACTTTTTCATTTATTTTCAAAGCAGAAAAATTGCACATGAGAAAGTGAATGTGCAGTTGTTTCTTCTTATTCTAACCCCCAAAATTCATGAATTTCAGGAAGTATAAAGCATAAAAAGGCCAAGATTATTTAAATTGCATGAACACAATTTCATACAATTGACTGACTCAAGTATCCATGTTTTTAAGTTGCTCCATTTAAAGGATTTATCTGTGTCAGTCTATAGAATAGAATAAATGTCTTATAATTATAATTTCAAGAAAATCATGTATTGCAAAAAAAAAAAAAGATCACAAAATCACACTCATGATTGTCCCAATTAACCAGGAACACCAGCGGAGAATGACAGAGCTCAGACGCAGGGCCAGCCTGTCCCAGCAGACCTCTGCCGATAGCAGTCATGGTGGATCCCAAGATGATGAAGCAGCAGCCACCATCAGGGAAGCAAACAATGAGCGACTCGCTGCCCAGCGAAGACACAGGGCCAATATGGTCCAGTCCATGATCAGGGCCACACAGCAGAGAGAGTCCAGGAGACACTCAGCCACAGCAACAACCACCACCACTTCTACCTCCACCAGCAGGGCCACCACCACCACCAGCACTGGCAGGGTTGATGCCAGAGCCCATGTGGGTGCAGCTGCAGCTGCTGAGACGCGTCATTTTAATGAAGCCAATGAAGTTGAATCCAGAAATGAAAGATGGCCGAATGAAGGAGATCTCAGGCTTGTTGGTGGCAGACATGAGCGGGAAGGTAATTACCATCATAGTCAATTAGGTGCAGTTGACAACTTTACATCAGGATAAAGGTGGCACCGCACAATTTGACCTCCCACAGTTTGACTGTCCTGCAATTTGATGGTCAAATTTGCTGGGAGGTCAACTCACAATTTGACCTAAGCCCAGCTGCAATTTGACACACAGAGTTGGGAAAAAATGTCAAATACATTGTAGAAAACATTGCACTTGACGTTGCTTTGCAATTTGACTCAAGTCCAGCAATGGGTTAGGGTAAAATTCCAGGGCACCACTTGTAACTTTTTCTGAAAAATAAATTAATCTTGATTCATATTCTTTCATGGGCAAAAAAGTGCTCATTATAAATCAGGGTAAGTTTTTTTCAATGTAACTGCACTATTTCTAAAGAAAAAACATGATGATTTCTATAATGCTCATGTACATTTTATTCTGGATTTGGTATGTTTCTTTTTTGGAGTCACAGAGCTGAGTCCACTGCACATAATTTGAAAAACAATGAAAAATTCTAGTGGACTAGGATTATAAGATAATGGAATTAGAAAAGGAAAAATCCTCATGTAAGCTTATTTGGGGATATTCAATATTTTGATTGACTATTAAAGGTAGGAACTTGTCATGTGCTCCAATGACTCTCTCATTTTGCCTTACAATAATTAGAGCAATGCTTTAAAATTGCCTCTGAGTTTATTTAATGGTCAATTGAAGTTTGTGGGCCAATGTAGAGCCAGAATAAAATGCAGTATTACGTTGTTTGCCCTCCCCCCCCAAAAAGTAAAGAAATTAGGAAACACGCATGTGCTTTGAATAAAATATGAGTAGATTTTTTTACGTCTCAGACGAGTGAGTGAAAATTACACTTCAGATTCTTCACAATACAGCACAAAAATCATTACGGAAAAAATCAAAAATAAATTGTGAGCAACACTACTTCATGCACTTTGATCTTGATTTTGTTGTTGTTGCAGGGAATGTCGAAATATACCACTTGGACCGATGGGGGAATGTATGTGATGATGAATTTGATGAGAGGGAAGCAAGGGTGGTTTGCAGGCACCTCGGTTTCAGTAATGGATTTGCCAGAGAAATGCACAATTCCAGATTTGGAAAAGCTGGTGGTAAGTAAAAAAAAAAGGAAATTAAAAAAGTTCACACTACAGTATGTTTATATATCGACTCAATTAACTTTTGGACCTTTTAAAAAATTTGAATCAAAAAGTGGGTTGTGAATCATACTTAAGTAAAAATGCTTTCTTGAAATTTCCAAAATTTTAATAAGCATAATCATTGTATTTGATCAAATATATTGCGGACAAGATATTAAAAAAAAAACAAATTCAATACAGTATAACTGATTTATCCATATACAGCAAAATATCACTACAATGAAGCCACTGGAAGCAGTATGCAAGCTTTTTGTTTAAACACAAATTTAATTCTAAACTGACTTATTTGATATTTTGGCTTTTGGGCAGAGGCCTGGAAACTGACTTCATTGTAATGAGCAATCATTTTCTTGATCCAGATTCATTGTAGTGAAATTTCATTGTACAATATTTAATTGGGAATAACCACTTTGGCTGCTGTAATTCCAAAAACATTACAAGTGTTGACTGGAAATTTAGGTTTGTTGTCTTTTGAATGGATAAACTTTTATTCCAATTTACTGCTTGAAAAAGCTATGCTTCTTATTTACTTGTTCTCAAGTATATACAGTATAATACAGTAATTTATTCTTTACATTCATGAATTAATTAAATTTTGAGATTTTGGAAATTTTCTAGTGAGAGTGTGGATGGATAACCTGGAGTGTGATGGCACTGAGACCACTCTGGCAGAATGCAGATTCAATGGCTGGGGATTGAGCAACTGTGGTCCACAAGAAGCTGCAGGAGTGATTTGTGAATATGATATCACCACAACCACTTCCACTTCTCCTTCAACAGCTTACAGCAGGTTTTCTGGTAAAGCACACATCAGGGTAAGTCAAGCTTCAAGTCTCACTTATTTTGCAAATCACTAAAAAATAATGGCTTTTTTGAATTTTTAAAGGACTGGAGTTATGGCGGTTTACAGGTCAGGTTAATGAATGGAAGGATAGAGACTGAAGGAAGAGTGGAAGTTCGCCATGGAAATGGAAGTAAGCCAAGTTGATGAACATGTTTCTCCATCAGACTATATTTCATCCTCTTTTTCCATGATCAATTGCATGACTCACTCACAGAATCAATCATCCTTCTGCATGAAGCTCAAAAGCCTTTTGATTGATACCGTAAATATGCTTCATTTGCCACTTGTCAGCGTTCACGAGGTTAAACTTTCCTTTAAACCAACACACCAACCCAAAGATGAAAATAAAAATCAAACCAAAAACAAAAACGTTGCTTTTTTTTTGCCCTTCAACAGACTGGTCTTTGGTCTGTGGGGATGGCTGGGGTCTGTTGCAGGCTGGAGTGATCTGCAGACAATTGGGCATGGGTTTTGCAGCTGATGCCAGTCAGACAAGCTTCTTTGGTGGCAACAGTGAGGACATAGAACTCAGTGGTGTGGAGTGCAGAGGCAATGAGGCCAGACTGGATGACTGCACTCATGATCGCTTTGGTGACGTGTTCTGCCCTGGGACTGGGGACAACATTGCCACCGTCAACTGTGCTTCTGGTTGGTTTTCATATAGAAAAAGAAAAAAAAGAAGAAAAATTACGCTCCAAGTACCGAAAACATGGTGTTTTTTTCTTCTTTTTAAAATTGAATCGTTCAGAGTTGGCAGACTTGGTTCCTGACCCAGCCGAAGTCATCAGGACAACTCATCTGGAAGACAGACAAATGTGGTACCTTCAGTGTGCGTTGGAGGAAAACTGCTTGGCCTCAAGGGCCTATGAAATACAGGTGAAATTTTCGAATTCCTGTATAAGAAAATTTCAATGATTCAAGAAATATATGCAGTATACTGTAACTATATTTACTCAAGTACCAGCATGCACCTTAGAGTAAAATGCGCAGCAGGTGTCATGGTACAGGTGGTATCTTGCAATTTGACCTCCTGCAATTCAACCATCCCACAATTTGACAGTTGAATTTGCAGGGAGGTTGACTTGCAATCTGACCCTTGCCCCACAATTTGACCAGCTTTGGCAAATTTGTTTTGCCTTTTTGTACGTAAATTTTTGAATTTCAGGGAGTCTTGAAATTCAGCTGATTTGCAATTTGACCCTAGTTCAGCAATGGATTAGGGTCAAATTGCAAGGTACCACCTGTACTCACAGATAATTTAAGAGGATATTAATCCTGAGAATAAAACACTATGATCAGATGGGATGTTAGTTCCACCATAGTTTAAAGTTGGTCTTATTCTCAAGTTTCAAAAAGTTCAGAAGTACAATGTTTGAATCCCTACAGATTGAAATTTTTGCAAGTTCTTGTATCCATCAAGTTCAGAGCAGAATTGTCAAAAAAGAGAGAAAGAAAGGGTTTCAAGAAAACCTTTCCTTCAATTAAGGATATGGAATATTCCAGTTGAGGTAGCTTTTGATATTGAATTTCTGTTCCCAACCATTTTTGTTATTGATTCTGAATATAAAATGTATGACCATTGGTTGTTTTATAGTTCCCTTTTCTTGTGGGATCTGCGATGAAACCCAATTTGCATGGGTGCTTCCAAGGATGGGTTTTGGCAGAGGTTGAAACTTGTCCCCAATAGGAGGAAGAAAAAGTTCAATATTGTTGCTTTTTTGAGAGCTTAAATTTTGGGAGACAAGCAGAGCTTCATAAATTACCTTCTTTCACTGAAAGACTGACTAAATTTGTGACAATAGGGGTTTTTCAATCAAAATTTTACTTGAGCTTGCATCACTGAATGAGACACTCAGCCCATTTCAATGACTCAAAAACTGAAATATCTAAAGAATCTGAGAACCCACATTTGAATTTAGGCATGAATTAATCCTAAATTCAACTGAGTTTTTTTGTTTTTCAATACAACACGTTTCTCTGGTAAAATTGATCAAGAATTTCCCATTGTAGATTCAAATATAATAAACACCTATAAACTTCAAATTGTTCATATTGACAGTTGCCTATGACACCCCCATAATTTTTTCCTCTCAATTTTGAGAAAAAAAGGTGAGCGTGATACTTGAGTTGATACAAAATACTGTTGATGTCAATATAGAAAACCAATGAAGCTGGTTGGCACTTGGAGAGCCGAAGACTGCTCAGATTCACTGCCAAAATTGTCAATCAAGGAACTGCTGAATTCCGTCCCTTCTTGCCAAAAAATGCCTGGCAATGGCACCAATGTCATTTGTAAGTATCACTGTCTTTTTTCTCGACTAATGTTCACCAAAAAAATGTGCAAAAATCGTTGTTGGAGCAACAGGAAGTAAATATTTTATTCCGCTTTCGATTCTTTTGGGTCGGCAAATACGAGGAAATCCAAACTTGAAATTCAATAATTTATTGCAATGAATTAATTTTTGAAGTATCATCCATTTAAAAAAAATTTGGTTCAAAAATTTGCTTCATGGGCTACTGCATAAATTAAAAGGGATAATTTTTTTTAAACAAAATTTTAAAAAATGAAATGCTTTAAAATTCAATTCTAGAAATTCTTATCACAATTTACAGTTTCAAGTATTGTACTGTATAGTTCACACAAAGAGGTGAAGCTAACGATGAAAAATGAGCCGTGAACAGAATCAACAGACTTCACGGAATCATCAACAATTTATATACAATATATTGAATGTAATGTCTGCGTCTCCGACAATCGGACAAAAAACATTTTTTCTGGCATGCAAAAAATATTGTCTATTCGCTTGTTCATAATATAAATTACACGTGAAATTCGTTACAACGAACTATTAGGTATCCTTTAAGTACGTTATCATTATTCCCTAATGGTTTCGTTGCATAAATTTTGTATTTATTTTGAAATCAGCGATCAAATTCTTTGGATCTGGGTTTCTTCTGACCAAATCGAACAGGATCAAGCAACATTTTGAAAATTCCCAGCAGAATATAGCAAAACTATGTCACACCAGAAGAACCAAGTCCCCCCCTCCCCCAAGAAGAATACAGTATCCCACTGAAAAATGTTTATTGGATTAACCTGCAATTAAAAATAAATAAAAAATTCACTGACCCCAACTGCTGTGAACAAATAAGCATTGATTCAGAATTGCTCACATCAAAGGCTGTGGAATGAAAATTGGGCGACAATTTTATAGATTTTGAAATATAAAGGGAAAAAATGATATATCTCGTATGTATACTCAATAAAGCAACAACAAAAAATCACTGTAGTTCGTCGAATCATGAAAATTCTTCATACAAGGTAATTTCAGTAATGCTGTGTTTTAGGCGTTTTTGCTGGGACCGGAAAATATTTTGTTGTTGTTTGTTTCACATGCGGATATGTGGCCTGTATATTCGTAATGATTTTCATTCATCATCGCAATCAACAGGCACTACCACAGCATGGAAGTGTTTGCCCATTTCGATCTCCTGGATCCGAGGACCAACAGAAAAATTGCCGAGGGCCACAAAGCCAGTTTCTGCTTGGAGGACAACGACTGCCTTGAAGGTGTAGAAAAGACCTTCAACTGCCAAAACTTTGGCGACCAGGGAATCACGGTCGGATGCGCCGACATCTATGCCCACAGTGTTGACTGCCAGTGGATAGATGTCACTGAGGTGCCAGTTGGCAACTACATTTTCAAGGTGAACAATAACTGCACTGCTGTATGGTAACAATCTGAAATTGAGGCCCGAGGAACACAGAAGAACAAAACAAAAAGTGCAGGTGGTACATCAAAATTTGACTGTCCAACATTTTGACTGCCCCACAATTATAGTGAGACCCCCACATGTGGACACCTATATCTGTGAACAATTTGACATAGGGACACTTATTTTCCAAGAAAAAATTCATAAAAAATGGCCCAACATGAGGACACTAACTCAACATAGGGACATTTTGTGATAAAATTGCAAATACATTTCCAGCCTAATTACGAGAAACAGATATTTGCAACCCTGAAATTGATGTGAGAAAAGTTCTTGGGCATTTCTCTCACCAATTTACCATTCATTCAGCTACTTTTAAAAAATTACCTCCAGCATAGAGGGACTTCAAATTCAATTGGCAAACAATTTTTTTCAGGGAATTCTGAAGAATATTTCTTCCACAAAACACCAATTAAAAATTATATGATGTAAGTCTAAGGGAAAACAAGACTTGACTTAGGGACATTTTGACTTGGGGACATTCTTGATGCACCAAATACGTCCGCATCTTGGAGTCTCACTATAATTTGACAGTGGAATTTCCAAGAGGTTGACTTGCAATTTAACCTCTGCCCCAGAATTTGACCTGCTTTGGCCATTTTTTGCTGATATTTCTCAATTTTACAAAGTTTCTTGGAATTTGACTGCTTTGCCATTTTACCTTAGTCCAGCAATGGATTATGGTCAAATTGCAAGGTACCACCTGTACTGTATCAAAATAGGGGTTTGTTGAAATTTCAGCTTTCAGCAGTCAGCTGAAGATCATTTTTGAAATTGTAAAAGGGTGCCAACTACATCGAGGATTGAAAACCGTAATATGCAAACAGTGAATAAATATAAATGATGACAATGATTGATTCGCATACTCTATACAGGTGAGCATCAACCCAGAGTTCAAAGTCGGGGAACAAACGTTTGAAAACAACGCAGCTGTGTGCAACCTCACCCTGACAGAGACCTACGCACATGTCAGCCACTGTGTTCTTGGTCGTCCCTGAAAACACCCAGTTTTTTTTCTTTCTTTCAAAAGAAATCATGTATCTTTCTATCATCTTTCCTGGCTTTTCATTTCTCTCTCTCTCCTGACTAAATAGTTAGAAGAGAAACGAAGACGACGAAGTGCTGACGAACATGTTCATGCATGTATAAATTCTCACGCGAAAGCAGCGGGCTTGAAAAGACTGATAATAAATTGGTATTTGAATGAAAACGAGTACGTGGATAATGATTTCTGAGCTTTGTTTCATTTTTTGGAATTCAGTATTTTTGTGGTTCTTGGGGTATATATTTATATGCTAATCAAATAATGGGCTATATATACGCAAGATCTCAAAATGCGTTTCACATGGTTCAATATGAAGAATGTTGCAAAAATTTTGAGTTTTTGTCCATGTGTTGGTCAAACATGGAATTTAAAAGGCAGAATAAGTCAAATGCAGTTGAATGCAGACCTGATGATATAGAGAACACTATAGAACAGTATGTTGTGCATCTCCAGACTCGAATGTTCATGAGTCATGCCTCGAACAGTTTGAAATTACTTTATTGCATTTCAAAATTGGCGTTGATTGCCGTGCATCCATTTTTGAGTCGGAATCCCATAAACCACTATATGGGACTAATTGAAAGACAACAGAAAGCTCGGTGCTCTGTTTATTTTCCGAGCTCTTTGTTCAATTACTGCCCGGACTTTGAAATTGTTGACTCACCCAGTGAGATTTTAAGGAAACCTTCACATTCAGCATTTCAAACAAAAGAAATTGTCAAGATTAGAACAAATCATTGGGTAGTGTTTGCAGTGGAATCTGAAAAATTGTCACAAGAAGACAAAGTGTTTCTTTTTAAAATGTTATTTGGTGCTCCTTAATTTGTTCGCAAGAATGCTAGTTGACAAAGAAGCAAGTGCAGTATTCAGATAAGCTTTCATTTTCTCAAGGTGATGCTTTTCTCAAGGACAATTTGAAACAAGGATGATCCGATGAGACAGCAAGGACAATTTTAGACAAGGGCAATTTTAGACTGGGAAAATTTGAGAAAAAACTATCTTGATAAGGAGAGGAATCTGCTTGGGTTGGTTCAAAGATTTGAGTTTTTACTTGATGAGGAAAACTCACTTGACAGTGATGATGGACAAAATTAAAAAACATCCTGAGATCATGGACTTTTCACCAAACAGTGCAATTTTTTCACACCTTAAATATAAGATAATAGGGAGAAATGCAGTCAAGTCATTTTGCTCAAAATGTCTAAAATTCTCAAAATGTATTTCTCTCAATTTGTCCATGGCTCAAAAAGTTTCAGTCTCAATTGTCCCTGTCTCCAAAATCTGTCTCAATCCGGTCCTGTCTTGAATTGGCTTTGTCTCAAATTGGCCCTGTCTCAAATTGTCTGCCTGTATTTGTCCTAGATCCTTTTTGGAAATATTTTTCTCGTTTTTTGGAATGCTAGAAATTTTTTAAGGCCTGTTGAAGTATGTAGTGACATAATTTCCAATGTATCTTCATGTGTTTCATGTGTTGAGCAAGGCTCCAGCAACAAGGACAATACAGTACAGTATTGTACATCTATACAGTAAACTGCCAGGAATTGCAATTTAGCAATCTGCAAATAAAAGGGGAAAACTTGGATCAAGACCCCAAGACGGTAGATTTAAAAATAAAAGGATTCCCTACATATCACACATTTTTTTTCCTACAACATAAGAAAGGAAACATTTCCCCCGCCGAATAATGTAAGGAATGGTGAGCATTTTGACATACAGAGACCTCTTCCAGCTGAAAGAGGCCTGATGCCTGACTTACACGCGGCTGTCATGGGGAAAGATCCCCTGGAATGTAATTGTGCAATAAGTGGACACGCGGACAGAGAGAACAGGATCAATCCAGAAGTTGAATCAAAACCGAGCCTCGGATCAGAGTCAGACAGTGAATGGATTGTGGCCAGCATGACTGCAAGTGAGACAAGCCAAATGGGGGTTATGTGAGAGGACCCAGTTCCCCCCCGTGGGATGAGGGGGAGGGCTATTGTAACGAGGATGTCTCATTAAATGCATTCCTGGGATCCCCAGCAGGAGCCTCTTTCATGCAGTTATTGCTGCTTGTTGAGCAATGATGCTCTGCTTCAGGGTTGTGTGGCAGATTATCTTCCAAGTACAGGGTGATCCCATAGAAAGTATATATGGTAGGTGGGATCACTGCATATCAATTTTCTCTGTACAACAATTTTTCTTTGTCCCATAGGGTTCTCTCTTTACCCATGTTTGAGGGGTTCTTGATGCACAAAAGTTGGTACTTTCCTGTTATCTCAGTACCCATTTTTCTTTGTCTCGTGAATTCAGTATATGTTAGGTTAGGTCAGGTTATGTTAATTGAAAAATATTTGTAACCAACATAACCTGACCTAACCTAACTTTACCTAACTGCCNGGTTAGGTCAGGTTATGTTAATTGATAAATATTTGTAACCAACATAACCTGACCTAACCTAACTTTACCTAACTGCCTCCCAAAATCAGTTTCAGCAGAATGCAGAAACATGAAATTCACAGTTTCTGGTAGGTGCACGGAAAGTAGGTACTGAGATAACAGGAAAGTACCCAAAATTCTATCTACAATGCATTTTTTTCTGATTGCTTGGATTTTGTTGTATTCACACTGATTCTGTGTCTTCATGCATGCCTCCATCATGTTCAGACAAAAATGTTTACAGGTGGTGCCCTATAATCCATTGCTGGGCAAGGGTCAAACTGTGCAGCAGTTGAATTGCGAGACACTGCAAAATTTGATGTTTTCTAAATTGAATTTGACATTTTGAGAGTCTCTGTAGGTCAAATTACGGGACAAGAAGTCAAATTGAAAGTCAATGTCCCAGCAGAAAATTTGACCATTGAATTGCAGGATGGTCAAATTGTGGGAAATCAAATTGCAAGGTACCCCCTGTATCCTGAAAATGAATTTTAAAAATGTTATTTACTCAAGTAAAATGTGCCATAATTGCATGTGAAACATGCACCTTGAGTGTTGAGAAAATTTAAACCCTGCATAAGATGCACAATCTGACTTTTCATGACACAAAATACAACTCTGTTTTAGGAAATAAATGCTAAAAAAGGAAATTCAAACTTATTGATTTCATTTGTTTTGAAATTGTTGAAGTTCCACATTGCCATCTGCCAATTTTATTTCATGCAAAGTAAGATATATATTTTATTCATTCTAGTCTATAAAAACAATTCAGCAATTGAACTTCTGAAGCACATTTTCAAGCTGTTCAGATATGCATTTCTCAAATGCTAGATATTGTTTCACCTAAAAACTTGAACAATACTTCACTGAGAAAAAAAAGAAAGAACCACTTCCATGTACATATATGAGGATCTCTCAGGCTCACTCCTCTCCAAAAATATTGTTGCCTCAATTTCATGAACTTGAATTTTTTTTTAAATCAGTTCAAGATTAATTTTCATGTTGAAAAGCAATGCAATAAGTCGCAAGAAGAAAATGTTGACAACAGGGAATCCAGTGATGATGGGTAACAAGAGGAATATGTACAAGATACACCCTGAAAACCAGGTCTTCACTTGGAAAACCCACTGAACCACATGACAGCAATAACCTTCTCTCTCCCCCTCCCCCCCCCCCCCCCAGCAGGTCTTGTCATGTCGCTTGCTTAATGCATTCCCCATCCAGCTTTTCATCATCATGTCCATATCACGTCTGCCACTATTGAATCCTTTGTGAGGGTTCAAATATGTCTGACAGTCCTCCACTCTGGCTGCCATTTTAGGATATTCAAACGTGTGAAGGAAATAATATACTAATACATAGTTCGCCACGCAAAATCAATTAATCGCCATCAGTCCCTTATGCTAATTTTTCCGACTAAAAAATGAATGATCTGAATTTTTGAGTCCCTCGTTTTTTCCACAATTTTTCAGAATCTACAAATGGATTCTGACTTTTTCAGAATCAACCAATGGATTCTGAAAAAGTCTGGTCTGCTACACTGAAACAAAGTAAATGCAAATTACAGTATCTTCAATAGCTCTTGAAAAATATACAGTTGGATCACCACAATTCAAACTCATGGGGATAAAAAATGTCTTATGAAGTTTTCAGTCAAATCAACTAATTTTTATTTTGAAAATTTTCAAGGAATTTAATCTGGTGATTGTTTATGTCGAACTAATAGATAACTTGTTCAGCAAAATGTCAGATTTTAATATTGTTACCAGACTTATTCAATTAGATCTTCTGAAAATACAAAGATTTCAAGATGCCTCTTGAGTCCTTATACTTGAATACCTTACTGTTGTACAGTGTTGTTAATTTATATATGACAACATATATGATGATATTCCTTATCCTTATTGGTGGGTTTATGTCAAGTGAATACTCCTCAACAAGTTTCTTATAAAATATGTTAGTGTTTCTTTTTGTATTTGACAAGGATTGAACAAGAGGATACTTTGACATCAAGCAACCAACAAGCAGAGAGCAATGAGCAAATGTGTAGAAAAAGGTGGGTGGCTTTATAGCTTTAGAGACTTTGTGGTCCAAGAGTGGGCAACACTGGTCAGCCCCAGATCTGACTTTTTTTTTAGAATTATTGCATAACTCTGCATGGCAAGTCATCAAGGACAAGAATGTTGGTAAACATGCAACTGCTTTGAGCATTGTCTACTAAAAAGGAGGAATGATATGATTTTTATGAAGAAAAAAAAACAGATAGAAATGAGAAATCAATTGTTTCAAAGCATCACATCACAAATATATTGTTTTTCCATTTCCTATTACCATTGAATAACAATTGAAAAGTACCAGCAGGAAAGTTGATTTCACAACATGCAAGCAGAGTTACAAGCAGCAGACTTCAGACTGGAAGTCTGATGCAAGGTAAGATTATCAAATCTAACTTACAGACTGCAATTTCCTTGAAGTAAATTTGAACCCAAACTGATCTGAATTTGATAAATGGGTGCCTTTGACTGTGATTGGTTGAGTTAGAACAGCCCAACGATTTACAGTATTTGATAACATATTAATTATGCATCTTTTTTTTGCACACACAGCTGATGAATCGTGGGCTGGGATAAACGTTGCTACCTTCAGATTGTTGGCCACCGGAGTGGCAGCCTTCTAGTGCGCGCATCACATCAGGGGATGAAACCCACCCGGGGTGGGGGAGATAAATAAAATAAAGCATCCCTCGG